CAGTTCCCGAGAATATTGTGTGATAAGCTTCAACGTAGAGCGGCTCGTCTTTCGAAAAATTTGGCTGTAACGGCCTACTGGGAATTTGTATGCCATCGGCGTACAGCGAAAAGAAATTTATTCTGTAATTTTTGAAATTAAACGGGTTCAATTTTCTATCACCGTTAAACGCCTTGTTATCGACAAAGCCAACTATTATTCGTTTTGGCAACTGCCCGAGTATTGCATTGTCTATCGATTCCCCCACGACACCTGCGTGTATCGTGAATGTTTTAACTTCGACTCTCGTAAGGGGATACTTGGCGGTAGTTTTACTCAGCATTCTAGCGTGTGCGAGTAGCACACCCGGACTTATTTTTGCTCTTCTTACGAGTAAACTGGCATCGAGAATACGTATTTTTGACAACGTTCTAGTCTCCATAAGGCAAAATGAATCTTTCGAGCGTACGAGTCTCATTCTAACTTCCACACCGTTAATTAAAAATTTATCTTGATTGAAAACGTCGCAGTGAAGGTGACCTACGAGATCTAGCGCACGATTTCCTTGAATGTATTTCGCGCGTCTCTCGAGTGCCGTATTTGGATTTGACGAGTCTAACGTGTCGTCCATGTAGCCGGGAATATCCGCGTCCCATAAGCAAGAGGTTAGATGGGAAGTTTTTGCGGGTGAAGCATAATTTAATAACGCCTCGATGTACGCGCGGTAAGCGTAAGCGTTGTTTGGTGGCGACACGAGTTTTTGATTGAAATACACGTCGATTTGGTTGAACATGGAATGCAGTAAATGATTTACGGGCCCTACTTTTGCCACGTCGGCGGCTGCGACCGATGTGCTCTCCCCGCGTTCGCTTTCTACGCGTATGCGAAGGCTCAACATGGTGTGAGTGAGATCCAGATAGTCTTCTCCATGGCCGGGTATGACGAATTCTATGGGTGAGTCGTCCGTGAGCGAAGTTACGGGTTTGTAATAAATCCATTGCGAACTCTCGATGCTGGTTTGCGTAGGTGGTAAAGAGAAGAAATCGAGTTCGCTCTTTATACACTCGCTTGAGTGGGTATGAAGAAAGGACATACTTCTTCTCCAGTCACGAATGCCTATCTCGATTAAGAGAATATGTCGGATACGTCGCGTTTCTTGACTCGATGTTTCCTAGTGGATGG